CAGCGCGCACATTCCACCAGCGTCCGGTTCATTCGCTCAGCGACACCGTTTAGTTGAGGCGTGTACGGAGGCGTAAACTTCTGCACGATACCACGACGTTTGCAGAACTTAGCCATCTCGCCCGACGTGTACTCGCCACCGCTGTCACTACGAAGCGTCTTGACGACCTTGCCGGTCTGTGTGCGACAAACTCAGCAAACTTGTCGGCCACTTCTGACTTGTTCCGGAGCAAATACACCACACAGAAGTGCGAGTACTCGTCGATGAACGTGACGAAGTAGCGTTTGCCACTGAATGTCGACGTCTGCATGGTACCACACACATCACTGTGAACGATTTCCAGCAGTTTCTTGGCGTGGTTGGGTGACTTAGACATGTAGCTCACTCGCGTTTGCTTGCCGAGTGCACATCCATCGCACAGCTCCCACTATTTCACTGACGTCATGTTGATGCCTGCACTGTAGCCCTTTTCGACGATGGCGTCTAGACCGCCATGGCCAATGTGACCAAGTCGAAGGTGCCAGAAGTACGACGTGGTGTTCCCTTTGCGATCCTTCGAGCTTGCCGCATTGGCCTCGTCGGGCACAACTGGTGTCATGCACAGCTTGAACAGCCCTTTGCCTTCACGCGCGCCGAGCTTCCAGTTGAGACCCTTTGCTTCCGCAAAACACCCATCCGTCTCGAAAGTCACGGGACCAACATCCTTGGTGAAGCGACCAACCGAGAAGAGGTCGCGTGACAACTTGGGAATGTGCCACACATTCGAGAGCACGCCCTTCTTGGTCCCCCGTGGAGTCTTCATGGACATCACGATGTCGCCGGTCCCGACCGCCTGATCCACACCATCGTCCGCGAGATGCACGTCCACCGGAGACATCTTCTTGTAGTTCTTCATGTACTCCTTCGAGTACGTCATGTGCTGCGTCGCACCCCGAGTCGACCAGCCACTTGTCACTTGTCTTGGTGGTCTTGCTCGCACCACCAACCAAGAAGAGAAACTAGCCCTTCTTCATCGCGCGCGACGTTTGCTCGTTGCGGCCTCTGTCGCTCCGCATTCTCACGAATCCTCACCGGACACTTGGCGATCCAATGTCCTTGTTCGCCGCAGTAGTGACACGCGCTTGTCTTTGGCGCCTGTTGGAAGTGCAAGATGTGCACGTACATCGACTCCAGAGTAGTATCCTATGTTAAGGCATATGGAAGGTTCTAGAAGGATCTAGGCATAGTGATAGGTCTTAGTTAGCGGATGGTTGGTTAGTTCTCACTTCGAGATTGGTAAAGCCACTGACGAGGCCCCGGCGGGGGCCGAAACGCGTCTGGCACGCGTTCAATCCAGTCATTCACATCGACTCGATTCTACATTTCCTACAGGTTATGAGCCCAAACGGCTTGGTATGGGCACTGCGGTGTACGCGGAATACGCGCTGGGGGAGTCCACGCTCAAGTCGTCGCGGAAGCAACGGGCTACGACGACAGGGGGAGCGGAACATACAAGTGCGCGGTGGACACGCAGTCGCTCTTTGCGTTCGGGAAAAGGACGGGCGAGTTCTGCACAAGGAGGTGGTTTCGAGTGGTGTGAGTGGTGGATCGAAAGAGGTCGATCGAGAAGGGGAACAACAACAAGCTCAAGCAAGGCTCAAGGACGGCTACAAGGTGTCAAGGGACGACGTGGTGGTGAACATGAGGGAGCCGGGAAACCTAGCGAACGCGGCAGCAACGGATACGCTGGCCAGCGCGCAGGTGGTAAACTCTACAAGAATGTATGCAGTGAAGAGGCTGCAGCTGACAAGCATCATGCGGAGAGCAGCAGAATGGCTGTACGCTCGTGACCAAGACGGCTACGACTCATGTCGTCGAGGGGGAGTGTTGGAAGTGCAAGATGTGCACGTACATCGACTCCAGAGTAGTATCCTATGTTACGGCATATGGAAGGTTCTAGAAGGATCTAGGCATAGTTATTGAGGGTTGCTGGTCTTGGTACTGTGTACCAGCTGTACCCATTAACCGGTCAACCTGAACCGGTCCAATACGATCCCGCTGTGATTATGGTAAGTTGTATATGCCATCCATGATTGGACGAGTAGAATGATTGGACGAGTACAGAATGATTGGATGAGTAGAATGATTGGATGACCTAGGTAGTGAGGACTGTGTAGGCCCCGATAAATCAATCACTTTCGAATCTTCCTTCTTCCGCTCAAGTGCCTTCACTCCGGTCTCCGCATCAAGTGCAGAAGTCACCCCGTTCAGCTCCAAGCTTCGTCCCAACACCTCTACACCATTAACAGGTTATGAGCCCAAGCACCATGTCCTCTGCCCGTGACGCCTCAACCAAGGTCACCATCGACAAGTTCAACGGTGACAACTACGCGACGTGGAACCGCTACATGCGTGGCGTGTTTCTGACCAAGTCGATATGGCACGTTGTGAACCGGGAAACGACGCCGAGCTTCACGGACATCCGGACCAAGGACGACTACGTCAAGGCGAGCAACATTGCGTTCGGACTGATGTTGCTCCACATGAACGCGGACTACCATCACGTAGTTGATGACTGCAAGGAAGCGTGGGGCGCGTGGACGCGCTTGAAGACGCTGTATGGTGGGTCGCAGAAGGCTGGTCGCATCTACCTGAAGCGCCAACTCTTCAGCATGGAGATGTCGGAAGGCGGCAATGTCTTGCATCATTGCAACGAGGTCCTCAACATCAGCGCCAAGCTCAGCAGCATCGGCGCCAAGATGGAGGACGAGGACGTGGCGATCTGCTTACTGCGAAGTCTCCCCAAGAGCTACGAGAACGTCGTGCTCAATCTGGAGATGAGCAACGCAGAGCTGCGGTCGCAAGACGTTGTGAAAGTGCTCACAAACGAGCACATCAAGCGACAAGGTGAGAAGACGGCGACGGTGAAGACTGAAAACGCGGCCAAGGCGTTCAACACCGACCGAGAGTCTCGCCAATGTGTGGTGAAGTGCTTTCTCAGAAATAAGAGAATGGGCCTGACGCGGGGTCACTATCCCGAATCAGTGACAATTTCAAGTGATTAGAGAGGATTTGGGCTGGTGGCACGGATGCAAGTTGCCGGTGGTGGATTAGCCATGACGAGCAGCACCCCGTATGAAATGACGATGGATCTGGTATGAGCGATGTACGAGAAGGCAAGATCCACCAAGACTTAGCTCGGATCCACCCTTACCTGGATTCACTTAAATGGATATGGGATATACTATACAAGAGTGGATCGGGTGTGGATCCTATGAAGGAAGGATGGTCGGTGCCCTCTGAAGATGGATCTAGTAGCCACGGCTAACGAGGAGTCAAGATCCACCGCGAGGTACCCCGGATCCCATACTTTCGAGTTCGGATCATCCATGGAGGGAGGATCCCGCCTTGAGGGACCTGGATCCAGGGTATAGGGATGATGGATGCAGTGGATCTGGAACTTTCGTGTGACAATGGAGATCACAGACGGTTAGGTGGTGTAGCGGGATCAGCAAAATCTGCGAGATTGCCAGATCCAACTTACCAACTGCGCCCAGACACCGACTAACGGAGGGGGTCCCCCGATGGACCGTGTTCTGCTGAACTTTCCTCACCTTGTGTACCCGTCGGTAGGGCGGGATCTTGCTCTCTCGGTAACTTCCAAAGCGTTCAAGTGGTGAAGCTTGAGTGTCTTGGCGAGACGTGGGGATGGGGTGGAGCAGCAGTGGAAAATCTTCACTCTGCGTCCGTGGATGGTTCCGAATCCTAAGCGAATATTCGAGCTTATGGATCCGGGGCCTAGATCGTGGATCTGGCCGTAGGGTTGTGCTTCCTTGCCTTTGTAGTTTCCTTTGCGTCGTACTTGCCGCCTCCTGTGACGGGATCTTGAAAGTTGAGAACCTCTAGGGTGTAACCGACCAAGTAGTAAATTCGGTTAGCCTGTCGGATCTGCACAAGTAAAGGAAAAGCTCACTAGGTTGTAGGATCTGGCCAATGTATTATCCAGTTATCACTACCAACACTAGATTCGCAATTCCCAACCTTCTCCGAGCTCGTACGGCCAATGTAGCTCCGGTTCTTGAGGGCAGGAAGGCACTTGCGTGTTACTGTGCAAATTGAGGTCTGTATTGATATTTAAGCCTATACCTGCCTGGATTTCTACCTTCTATGTCTTTCATCTGCTAAATCCCTTACCAGGCTCGGCTGCATGTCCCTTCTTCCCTTGACCCATCATCCCAGCTGTGTTATCTTCAGATCCACCGGATATATGACGTAATCATCATGGTCACCCTATTATGGGTACACTCATCCGGATCTAGGTCGCTTGGATCCACCTCGCTGTAATTGTACACTCGCCGTGGATCCGAGCTCTCCAATCATCCAACATCATCTTGCAACCTTCTGTGATCTCCTTGGTCCCACGAAAGTTCGAGATCCACTGCATCCATCATCCCTATACCCTGGATCCAGGTCCCTCAAGGCGGGATCCTTCCTCCATAGATCCGAACTCGGAGGTATGGGATCCGGGGTACCTCGCGGTGGATCTTGACTCCTCGTTAGCCGTGGCTATTAGATCCACCTTCGGATGACACCTACCACCATTCCTTCATAGGATCCCCCACTCGATCCACTGGTACATAGTTGTGGTGTAGTGATTTCTCCGTAGTTGCGGATTATCACCCGTCGACAAAGACGTGACACCGCCCAAGTTGTTCAAGCGACGAACCCTCGGTCAGGTGATGTACGGAGACGCCAAGGTGCAAGGGACTCGACGGCGTCACCTCCGAACGTTCAACGAGTATAGGATACGGGCATATGTCACTGAATCCAGGCTGTCCTTATTATTAATAATGGACTGGCCGGATTCGTATTCAGCGAACCATCTACGGTACGAACCCTCAGTGTCGGTTGGGATGAGTTCGCGGAATACTCAGCGACCTTTGGAAAACACGTTCACCGTCTGGGACAGGGCGCGGACCGTTAAAGATGCTCATGCGACGGTGCAGACGACGCTTGGCATGCAAGAAGATCCATAACGGATCATTGTTCACTTGATATTTGTATACTTGATTAGGACTTCTTATTAGGAATAGACCCGAAAGGGTAAGCTTAAATACAGAACAGAATTTCCACTCAAGCACACAGAGCGACGTCCGGCTAAAGG